AGAACCATGGTAGACCCGGGAAACCCTGCCAGTCTACCCTGTGACCCGGGAAACCCTGCCAGTCACAAACAAATCATATTGGCCATAATCAATTCACATCTTCCTAGTGTGCACACCTCTTCCCAAAGTTGCTACTAGTATCCCGGGAAACCCTGCCAGACACCACTTTGGAAAGAACGGATATAATCTTTTTCACATCAGTTTCACATCGGAGGCATAAAGCCCAAAAGTTGTGTTCATCACCTTGGGAGGTACCATCCCAAAGCTATCTTCCCACCATTAATTTATTACAAACACACACAATCAGGAAAGATTCAATCATAATTATTTATTCTTTAAGTATTATCATCTCTAAATGAGTTACTCAACGGCATTATAATTTTCCAAAGTATCATAATTCAAACAACTATTATCATAAATTCTCGAATTTATATAATAATTCAAATCTTCAGCATCTATCATAGTAAAATCCAAATCTGATCATCATAATAACTTTCCAATTTATTCAAGGATATGATAATTCAAATCTTCAACAGTCATCACAGTAAAATCCAAATCTGATCATTATCATAACTTTCCAATTTATTCAAGGATATGATAATTCAAATCTTCAACAGTCATCACAGTAAAATCCAAATCTGATCATTATCATAACTTTCCAATTTATTCAAGGATATAATAATTCAAATCTTCAACATTCATCATAGAAAAATCTAAATCCAATCATCGTCATTCAAATAATCCCATCACATCAATTATCATAGTTATTAATAATATAAATATTTAAATTCAATCATTAAAACACATATTTGGAAAGTTTTTCTTAAAGAGTAGTATAATTCCATAATTTTCATAATTATTCAATAAGATCCATATATTGCACATGAATTAAAAGTTTATATCATATATTGCACATAATCATAATTTCTGAAATAATAAAAAATTTCCAAAAATATTCTAATTATCATATGTAGTAATTTAAATTTAAAAAAAAACAAATACCTATATATATAGAAATGTTCATACCAAACTATTAAGAACATCTACGGATTACATATAAGGATTATGCCCAAATTTCATATAATAGAGATAACCTAAACACCTAAGGATTCAGATTACATCCAAGTTTTATATAAAAGAAATAACCTACGAATAGGATTACATATACCGAAATTCATATCAATATAATCTATGACTCTCTAGGGATAAGGATTACTATTAATAAACTTCAAACAAAATTATAACCTAAGGATTAGGATTACACATATCAAACATATAACTACCTAAAGATTAGGATTACACACAATAAAAATTTCATACACAACGAATCTACAACCACCTAGAGATTAGGATTACCTGGTCTCCGCGCTAACTTCTAGAAGAAAAGAGTAATTTGGGGTAGAGAACCGGTTGATAAAAAAAAATATAAAGATTGAAAATAATTAAAATAAGCTTTTTGGAGTGAGAAGAGAGAGAGTAGTAGAGGAGAGTGAATTGGTTTGGTTAAGCTAGGTCTCTATTTATAGTTGAAGTTTAGGGCTTATACATTACTGACTCAATGCTGACTCATCATATCTAAACAATATATGTTTGTTGACTCATTATATCTAAACAATTTATGTTTATTGACTCATCATATCTAAACAATATATGTTTGTTGACTCATCATATCTAAACAATTTATGTTTGTTGACTCATCATATCTAAACAATTTACTAATCAATCATTACTAATCAAACATAAATACATAAATCATCAATCAATTAATCATAATTTATCATCTAATATATATATATATATATATATATATATATATATATATATATATATATATATATATATTATCACATAAATCAAATAATATTACTATTATTATCTTACCTCTTATTATTTTAACTATTATTAACTCATTAATTAAAGATATTAAATACCAATATTATTAATTACAAAAATACTAAATATCATTATTATCCAAAAAATATTTATTATTATTATTATTTTATTAAAAGAAAATATAGGGTATTACAGGCCAGAATCAAGTTTCATGACTTAAATATGATTTGAAGGGGTAAACTCCCTATTTCATTCACCCAAATGCCAATCCAAACAAGCACTAACTTATTTGGTTTTACATTTCACTCCACTTTTTCAAATTCATTTTTGGTTCTTACCCTAAACTTGGTTATGGCGTAGAGCATAGAAATTCTTTATCTTTTTATACGGCACAAGTTTTTATTGATGTTTAATTCATGCATCATTAATATTATACATCTTTTCTAAATTAATAATATCTTTCCAAAAATATAAAATTATTAAAATATAATTTATGTTAATTATTAAGGTATACCACAAAAATAATAAAATCATAAAATAAGAAATCAATATGAATGAAGGAATTTTTTTTTCTTATCATACATTTCAAAGAGATTTTGATTATATTATAACTATTCAAATTACATTTATTATATTGAAATTGCTTTAATTTTAATAGGTTTTAACATGGTTACTTCCGAATAAATTTAAGTTTACAAATTAAGATGATTCAAAATTAAATTTTTAAAATGTAACCCAAACGAAATATTTTGAAGGAACATTTATTTATTTCTTTTTTTATATTACATTATTAGCAACGGTGAGGCCCCGAGCCATAATCCACTTCCTAAAATTATTCCAAGTAAAATTTATTATTATAATTATAAAGGAAGAAATTGACAAACAAAGCATCCCAGGCCACGAGACCATCTATCTTTATCCATACCTTTAAAAAAACTTATTTTTCAAACAATGAATTGGATGGGAAATTGCTTTTTTATGCTACATAAGATAAAAAGTACTTTTTTACACTCACATATAAAGAAATGAGACCCATTTATATATTTTTTCTCTCTTATATTCTCTCTCATCTCTGTGAGTGTAGAAAATTTTTATTATCTTATGTAACATAACAAAACAATTTCTCTAAATAAAAACGCAATAAAGTTTTTTGTCAAGAAGATAAAGACAGGTGGATAAGATACTGGCCGCTGAAACGGAATTAAAAAAAAACTTAATTGATACAGTTAGTTTGATTTTTATTGTATTTATTCGTTGTCTTCTTCGTGTTTCCACTGCTCATAGACAATTCCAAACTCTGATTAAACATATTTTAAAGGAGAGCCGACAGTAATGACGGTTTTGGATCATGCAACTAAGATTCCATTATTGAGTCTAGAGTTAATAAATTATTTAATTTACATAAAAAAGGTAATAGCATGGTCCTATTTCAATTTAAAAGTAAAATTAATTATGTGAAGAATGATTATAATTTTTAAAGGTATGCATATCATTACTTATTTGATTATTATCATTAAATATATACGGCGATTAGCCAATAAATATAGCTCTAGCTCCTCCGATTGACATATAATGGAATTTGCAGATACACTTCTCCTTATTCAACACGTGCCCCTTCAATTATACACCGAGCATTGGCTGTGGAGTGAACAATCATGTTGTCTTCTTTGGGCCTAACAATCTATGTAAATATATATATATATATATATATATATATATATATATATATATATATATATATATAGTAATATAGTAAAATTATTTCTGCAGTCGTTTTACGTACAACAACGACAGATGTATGATTATGATTCTTCACATTTAATGCTTTCATCCTTTGTATGGTTATGATTTCCTGCATTTAATTCTTTTAAATATATATATATATATATATATATATATATATATATATATATATGATAAATATTTGATTGTTGCACGTACAGCAGCGGCAGAAATGTAAACTCCTATATATATAGAAAAACATTTTTCCGGCTACTTAAGATAAATTTATCTCAAGCTATCCCGAAATTACATTGTTTTGTTTATTTATTTTCTTGTATTAATTGATTCATCTTTAAATAATTATTATTACCTTTTTCTCTCTCTTCCTTTATCACTATTGATTTAATTGCCAGAGATAAAGTTATTTCAAGTAACTTGAGAAACGATAAACCCATATATATATATATATATATATATATATATATATATATATGGGATAAGATCAACTTACACCGGTGTAAGAATAATAAATCTTACACCAAATCTTAACCGTTGATTTTCGCGCATCCAATAGTTGAGATTTATTGGGAATTAAAAATTAATTAATGAGTGAGACCTAATAAATTTTAACCGTTATATGTATAAAATCAATTATTAAGATTTGGTGTAAGATTTATTATTCTTACACCGGTGTAAGATGATCCTGCCCCTATATATATATATATATATATATATATATATATATATATATATATATATAGGGATAGGATTCTAAGATTCTTTGACACCGATGTCAAATTTTAAAATTTGATACCAAATTCTTACCTTTGATTTCCGTCAACGATTATCATTTATTAAAAATCAAACTTGTTAATTAATATTAATTTCCAATAAATGATAACTGTTGATTGATGAAAATCAACAAATAAAATTTGGTATCAAAGAATCTCTCTCTCTCTCTCTCTCTATATATATATATATATATATATATATATATATATATAGGTAGGATCCTTTGACACCAGTGTTAAATTTGAAATTTGACACCTCATCTGATAGTCGTTAGATAAAAAAAAATCAATGGTGTCAAATGCTTACAAATCAGAGTCGTTGATTTTTTTGATCTAACGACTATCAGATGAGGTATCAAATTTCAAATTTGACACTGGTGTCAAAGATCCTACCTCATATATATATATATATATATATATATATATATATATATATATATATATATATAGCACCGTTGTTGCTGTAAAAAAACTTATACGACAACACATAAAAAAATCAGGATATACCGATGGATCTTGGGCTCTTTTTTTTTTTCTTAAACGAATGAGTTCCACTTTTTTGTATGTATTACAAAAAAAAATCATGACAGCAGAAAAAATGAACCATGGCATAAAAGAAATTCTATTAGCAAACTCTTTATTGCATCAACCATTTACAAGAAGTAGCCTTGCCGGGCAGGGAGCTTCACTTTCTTCCTTTTTATCGTCTTTTTACATGATAGGAGATAAACAGATATTTTATTGATAGAGAAAGGAAAGAAAAAATGATACTTTACTAAGTAACGGTAATGGTAAGAAACCTGAACACCAACCCCATATACAAAGCCACATGGTGCTGTCAACCCCATTATGAAAGGAGAAGACAAGTTTCTGGGTGCTGCTTGATCTGTTGCTTAGTCTGTTGCTGGGACCAATATGCGTGGGCAGTTAGGACCCTGTCCAAAAGTTCTTGAGGAACAGGCTCTCCCCTTCTTTGCTGAGGGGATATTCTTGCCGTGTGCACCAAGGTTTTCCATTTATCCTGCACTATCCCACACCCAAATCACATGCCAACACTTTTATCCGTGATAAATAAGGAAACCAAAATAGATACTAATGAAAATGACCTTGTACTTTGCTTTAGGATCCCATCACTATCTTACAATATTTTTCTTTTAAAAAAAGGAGAGACAATATGATAAATGAAAATTCAAATTAGCTACAAAGAGCATTAGGCATATGAACATGCATAGCAAAAGTCGTGTCTGATTAATATTAGAAGGAACCCTTAGGGTACCAACCAAAGCAAGAAACCACTAATGAAGCAATAAATAGCTTACCAAAATATAAAGGCAATTACTTGCCTCAACACAACTACTATATTGTTTTTAAATAGATGGGGAAGAAGAAAGCGTGCCACCCAACAACCTCAAGTGTGGCAGCCACGTTCTATTCCACAATCCATTTGAGCAAGAATAAGATCCAATAAGAAATAAGAACGTTGCTATGCACAAGGATCACAAAAGTTCTTTTTTTTTTTTTTTACCTTCAAATCAACGTATGTCCGATGCTTTGCATTATCAAAAGCACGAAGTTTAACATCACGCCACCTGATTTTTTCCAAAAAAGATAAAAATATCTATATAAAGGGATTGTCAAAAGGAAATACAAAATCACACTTGCTAAGTAGTTGAGTTATGCACACAACGTACTAAATACTACTGTTATTCACTTAGTAATGTAAAACTTACCTTCCAGTTCCGAGTTTCTCAACTGCTTGAACCAGTGCTTCCACTTCTGCAACAGAAAAAGGCCTACGAATTCGGCGCTGCACGATCTCAGTTCGCTTTGACTTCTGGTGCACAGGTAACATAGCTAGTGCCTCCATACCCAATTCAGGAATAGTAATCAGTTCTCTGGAATCTGTCAGTTTTTTTTCAACTGATGTGTTGATAGGAGAAGTTGCTGAATCATGATCACTTTCAACAAGGTTACCTAAATTAATTACTCGATGCTCAGGTAACTTGTCAGAAAAGTCCTGAATCCTTTGATGAACTACCGCAGGACTGGAAGAACACCTGAATATCAATTATCATTTTTTAAGATTAAAACTGGAATAACAATTATAGAAAAACAAGATAAAATGATACTAGAAAGTAGAAAAACACATTTAATGCAGTATATTGTGTTAGTTACACATAATTCACGTAATGTGAGGTGGGCCATAGATTTTGATGAAGAAAAAGGAGAGAAAGAGAAAGCAAAAGGAACTTTGTTGATCGATGTTATGTGACATATGTGAGGGAAATATTATGTGGAAGTAACATTTCCATGAAAACATCTCGAAGGAAAAATGCAGAGGGAGTGAATTCTAGTTCAAGTAATGGAAAACATTAATGCATTCAATTGGAAGTTATGCATTACCGTATTAAAGGCTGAGGCATGTCCGCAATAGGAACATTGAGAGAATCTGTAGCACATGCGGGTTGTAGGTTTTGTGAAGAATTAGGCTCCAGGGTAAAGCCCAAAGCATCAAGCTGGTTATCATGAGAAATTCCAGTCTGAAGTAGAGTTTTACTGTCATCTCTAACCTTCTTTCCATGGAGAATCACACCAACACGCAATCCACCTCCCAGTACAGCAGTCACTGCCTCCATTGCTGTCCTCTGCAGACCAAAATTTTGTAAGAGTTGCAGCCCAATTTGAATGGAACATGGAATAATGACCATACCACATGATAGAAGAAGCATGTCAAGAATACTAGACACAGAAACAGATCCATCCATCATTAACATCTAATCTAAATACAGTGGAGGATGATTATGTATATGGAAGAATAGAATTTTACTATACCTTCAAGGACCCAATGGTTGCAGTTTCTGGAATCTCAATAAAAAGCTCTGGCACTCTAAATGATTTGATCCTAAGCTTCACTGATTAAAAATAAAGACATCTTCATGTAAGAACCCCTTTGAAGACATCAGTCAAGTCAAAGTGTACATAAAGAATCACTCCCTCAATCTTCCCATACCATGAGAATCTCTAGATCGTAATGAAGGATGTTGATGTGCTTCCAAGGATGACATTCCAGGATCTGCATCAAAGATTTATAATTTATTTAGCAAAAGATTCCCGAGACCATTTAATCCAGTGGCCAAATAAAATCAATTGAATAGGAGGAAGACATTTAGAGTAAAACCTTCGCACATCCTAGAATATGAACAAGAAACACCTTGATTTATGTCGTTCCCAGGTGAATAATAATTCCCACCACTTCTGATAAATCCGTCAGAATTTGAAACAGAGCTACAGTGAAAAAGCTTCCTCTTTTTGAAAGGAATATTCATTTGAGACCTTTGGTGTTTATAATAGTTCTTCCTACTGCTGTAAACTGGCTTCAAATTTCCATCCAAAACTAACACGTTTTCAATTGAAAAACAGATTAGTAAACAAGCAAAGAAGCATGATGGGTGAAGAAACAAGAAAGCCAGCAATTTCATACAATAAGCATGAACTCACCACTGTTAGAAAGTGTATCATGCTTTGAATCTAGAGCAACTTTCCGATATTTAGAAGCCACTTTTTTCCTTATTCTTTGATCACCTATACATGTCATTGGCCTAAAGGGCTTTATTTTGGTACTAGGGTGAGCACACCCAGAAAAGTTTTCGTCATCATCTCTACTAACTATTGGTACATTGTCGCAACCTTTGGACAATGAGCTACAAGGCATGCTGTCATCATACCCAGACAACTTGGCATTGCCACCTGAACTAATCAGTGTAGGACGTTTTTCATCCAAGGGATCCTCAAAACAGCACATCCCAGTTCCAGTACCAATTGGCACCTTCTCAAACTTATGCAGCTCATCCTTTACTTTACTTACATCACCATCTAACTTGCTACCACTACTCTCTGGACACCCAGAGGAACCTAATTCAACTTTGCTAGTAAAATTTTCCATTTCATTATGATTTTTTCCACCCACCAATATCTCAGCATTAAACTTCTCCGAGCAACTAGAACTTGTTACTATAGAAGCAATGCATGAATGGCCATCAATTTCAGGATGTGAGAGTTCCTTCAAACAGCAATTTTGATTGTATACTTGTGAAGAAAGATTAGGAAAACATTTTCTGTCACAAACTCCTTCATCAGAAAGCTCAGGTTTGAAAGGCTTATTTGCATCCGGGCTCCCTTCTTTGATAAATCCATGCTGACATTTTCTGTCACAACTTACATCATCAGAAAGCTCAGCTTTGAATGGTTTGTTAGCATCCTGACACTCTTCTTTCACAAATCCATGCCAATCCTTTTCTGATGATCTATCAGTAGACATGGTTGGATTCTGTTTCGCTTGCAACAAATTGTCAGCTACGGTGGCCAATAAGTCAAAAGCATACATTTGACTTTCTTCCACCCTTCTTTGAAATGTAGCCCTCCTCTATGAAGCATCAAAAAAACAAAATTACATGGATTGTTTTCATAATCAGTAAGTAAATAGATAGTAGTAATCAGCCACAGATGAGAAGCAGAACTTATTTACCCTAGCTGATCGGGTAGCTCGACGCTTGGTTGGCACCTGATAGCCATTAAATCCATAGTCTAGCCTCTTCTGTACCACCATATCTCAGGAACCATGCCAAAAAAGGATCGATCAAACGCAAAACATCAGCAATTCAATACCCATTGTCAGATAAACATGAACTGCGAGTTGCTTGACTCCACCAGTCTCAATTTGAAAGCCTGACAGTAAACGCCCATTAGTGATGGCTCAGATGCATTATAGTGAACTAGTATAATATATCAAACCAATGGAAGCCGGGAAATATCAACATTTATGAAGAAAATCAAGTGCATTTTTACATTTACGAAAACAATCTTTCACAGTTTAAGCAACAAAACTCCAACTTTAGGTTCAAGCCTAGCTCAGATTCCAAGGCCCTCAGTCTCATGAAACCAAATTGGACGTTCAAACAATCCCAACTAGTACTATTAGGAAGCCAATTCAGTTACTTCCACTGGATCCAAGCACCTCAATGATAAAGGCCATTGATTGAAAATGTGTATATGTATGTAATCCTCTCACCAAACGGGAAAATAAGTGCATAATACTAAAAAAAATAAAACCTTTGCACAGAGGAGTAAACAATGAAAACAGATTCAGATGAAGAGCAACATAATTCAGCTGGGAGTAAGATATAATTTGCAATAATAAATTCCATAAAGAACAGTTTCTGAAAACTCCAAACGTGAAATAAAAAAGAAAAAGGAGAAAAAAAAAATTATGGGACATAAAGAAGTTTAAACAAAAACATAAAGGGATTCCAAAACAAGGCCAGATTCCAGACACGTCCACGAGAAGAGAACTAAACAAAATTCAGACCAAGATCATAAAAAGCGATCTAAAATCTCGGAAGAAGATCGATCTCAGAAAATAACCAATTCACCAACCAAAAGCAAAGCATAAGTCATCACGTGCAGCCGAGAAATCAGAGATCAAATCATCACAACCTCGAATTAAAGAAGATGAAGATCAATCAAACCAAAGGAGGTCCGAAACTTAGAAGCAGAAAGGGATAAATGAAACAAAACAACTCATGAATTGTGAAATATGAGAGCAAACTCTGGTCGGGAACTGAAAATTCATGTGTCAGAACCACAAAACAGTCCTCAAATAACATCATACGTCAAAATTCCAACTTCTTCCGGAACCAACGTCATCCCAAACCCCAAGGATAAACCCGTCAGTTAAAAACCGAGAGAGAGAGAGGAAAATTTGCGTATTTTAGTGAAACAAAACCCATCAAAGTTCAACATGATCACCTCTTGGTTGGCACAGGTTGTCGTTCAAAGATCAAATCTTTAACTCACAAAGAATGGAAATTTGAGCAAATTTATGGAATTTTCAGGCAAATGTGAGATCGGCGAATTATCAGAGAATTCAAAGTGGAAAAGATTCCAACCCAAAATTATTTTCTCTCATTTTAGCAGGAAAACTCGATTTTAGTGGGTACCCATTTTCAAATTCGTTTGGTTTGTGTGTGTGATCGTGTTGTGTTGTTCTCTCATTCTGAATTATGGATCGCTAAAAGTAAAACCCTGTGAAAACCACGAACGCGTGGCTTAAACCCCAAGGCTTTTATATTATAGCATTGATCCATCATGTGTCACCGGAGCTATCGGGTTTTGCAGGGAATGGCACCGGAAATAGTAGGTTAATGGTAGCACGTAAAGACCGGTTCCACGCAATTGCCACTGATGTCGACACGTGTTTACCCTTTGGATCCTGTGGCTCCTTCTGGTCCGCACGATCGTGAAAGACGCTCGCTCACTCACTCGCATATTCATAATATTATTCCCTTTTTTTAATTTTTTATAAGTTTTTACTTTGCTCTAATTAATTAGAGTTCGGAGGACATTGATTTGTAATTAGGGGCATTTTTTTGTCACTTCACTACATCACCCACAATAATACGCTTTTTATTTTAGTGGGGAGGATGGGTGGGAATCCTAGAAAGTAAGTCTAAGATACTTTGTATTTTTTAAACTTTGTGTTACTTTCATCCTCTTTTATTTTATTTGAGAGCAGCTATACTTATTATTATTTTATATTTATTATTTTTATTACTTGATTAGTTATCGTTGGATCAATTTGAAATTAATGATTGAAAAAATTAATTATCTTTGATTCAATGATAACTAATCAAATAATAAAAATAATAAGACTAAAATATTAGTAAATATAACCTTTCTGTGCTTAATACACTTTTCTATAAATTATATCACCACACATTTGACAGAGGTGATAAAATTAAAATGTGAATTTGTCAAAGTTAAATTAATTATAATTAAATAATAAAAATTTTATAAATATAAATAATGTATTTACAATTATATGAGCAATATTATTATTTTTTATATATTTAAGGAACTGTGAAAGAACATTTTTTCAACCCCGTGATAAAGAACAAACACAAAACGAACTATATTCAAGACTCAAATCAGCGTTCTACAAATACAAAATGAAGTTTGGTGGATACTCAACACAACAGCTAAGAGTAAGAGAACAACACCTGAGCATGTTGGGCTCAATAATTAGCCACCATACGCAGGACATTTGATACAAGAGAACCAAAACGCAGTCAGATTAGGTTTCCGAATAATTACCGTTTTAAGAAAAATCTACTAACCCTTAATCACTATTATCGAGGGGGTGTAATTAGGCTAAATTTTGGCCTAAAATCTTGAGCCTATTTGATGTGATATATAAGACCTGATAGTATAAGCTTATACTATATGTTATGATATTTTTAATTATTTGGTGTGACCCAGAATTTTTTTTTTTTTATATCTGCACACTTAGGGCAGGGGTTCAGGGGCAACGTCCCGAAAGATTACTTTTAAAGAAAATTTCAAAACAACCAAAGTTTTAAAGAAATAATCGATAATGATAATTAAAAAATAAATAAACACCACAGAAAGACATTTGTAAAATATAGTATAATTGTAGAGATTAATTGATCAAAAACTCACCTCTATCAATGTCTATTTGATCCAAAGTTGACCACTTTTGCGCTTCACAAAAAAACATGAAAAATCCCGTGCGATTCTCCTCCACTTGATGAAGATTAAATTTCAGGAATCATTGATGTCTATTAAAGTTTGGAGCTAATAAGGTTTATGTTTCAAAAAAAGAAGAAGAGACAAAGCAACAGGGTAGGGTTTAAGCTTTAAGCTTTTAATCATAGGGTTGTTTGGGTTGGGCCCATGTTAGTTAAAAAATTCGTGATTTTACAAATTTTTTTAATCAAAACGATTTCATCAAAATTCCAAACGTTTTTATGATTTTAAGATTTTTTATGATTTTTTTTACGTTAGGATTTTACGTTTTACGATTTTTTATCCTCCTTCCGATTTTAGGTAAAATCCCGATTTTAAGTTGGGCCTATGTTTACTTTTTTCTTTTCAATCTTCCTAAAATTTTTTTTACTTGACCTAAATCACCCACCCCTTTGAAAAAAAAAAAAAGAATTCTCAAACTTTTGTGCCAGTGCAGACAATGGCAACAATGTGTGTCCCCATTGGTGTGACCATCGTATAGTATAAGTATAGACAGTAGGATCCCTTTATACATCAAAATGATGTATAACTTAATCAGGCCTGGGAGGGTAGATTAGGCCTGATAAGAGATTGATGTATTAACTAATGCAATTCTCAAGAATTAATATATTATTTTAATATTAGTATATTAAAATAAAATAATTTTTTAATATATAATTTTTTAAAATTTTGGAGATTTTTGTTTTTGTAAAAGTTAATATATTTTTTGGGCACACTAATAAATAGATTTCTATAAAAATTAATATCATCTGGTATACTTGGAAGAATTATATAAATTCATTATTAAAAGGTATTTTTGTCAAAAATATTTATTTTTATCCTATCTAGTATTATACAATGCATTACCAAATATTGAATTATATTATCTCATACAATATCATACCAAACGCTGGATAATATTAAAATTTAATCAGGTCTTATACAATCAGATCTCATACTATCATGTCTTATACTATCATGCCTTATCATATACTGTGTACCAAACATACCCTAAGTCTAACCTAACTTGTTAGCTTATGTAGGTCCAAATTCAAGTCTGGTCTGACTTATATTTTAAAAAAAAAATCTTGGCATAGGCCTGATAGCCTGTTTAAGCCTAATAAACATTTCATAATTAAAAAACAATTAAAATAAGAGTTTGGTGTTTGTCATTTTAAATGACATAATAAGTTATCTCATTTTAAGAGAGAGATAGACACAAGAAATGAAAATCATGGGAGAAAAAGTGAGTGATTTTTTAATTTAAATTTTAAATAAAAAAATATTTTCTTGTGTCTATCTCTCTCTTAGAATGACATAACTTTATGTCATTTAAAATGATAAACATTTTTTCCTTAAAATAATAATATTTTATTATTTAAAATCACTAAAATAATAATTTTATTTATTTTATTTAAAATATGTAATATGATATAGGTCGAACTTTAAGTTTATAAGCCCGATATATATAAAAAAAGTTTATGACCTATTTTTTAAATAGATTTTTTTAAAAGTTTAAACCTATTATATTTGACAATTTATAATAAGCCAAAACTAATTTAATACAAACTAGGCGACCTACTAATTCATTTATACCCCTACTCTTATCGCTTTACTATGTCCATGTTCCGCACCCTTAACTACCGAGCAAAGTGAAAACATTTTCTTTTAGCAAAGAATTCACCATTGTGAGCATTGTTAACATCATGAATCTTCGTAACACGTTTTTGGATTAAATTTAAAATATTATATAATTAATTAAATCTTAGCCGTAGCGTTGCAAACAACTCTCCTAGTCATGAAGTTGACTTAAATAATAAACAAATTAGAGCTCTTACTAAACAATTGAAGGGGATTTAAGCCTATAAAAAATTACTTACAGACAGCCTATGCTTAATAAGAAATGATCTAACACTCAAAAAGCATAAGTAATATTAATTAAAAAAATATTAAGTCATATATTTCGTAGAGAGCCTTTCTGAGGAGAAGAAATGCTGACCGAGAGAAAAAACTTTCACGACCCAATCGATCGAGTTTTTTTTTTTTTTTTTTTTTAAGACAAGATGGAAAGTTAAAAGCAACAAAACAACCGAACTATTGAGCATTCTCGAGTCTAAGGACCCCATTCTATCATTATCAAGCAGCAGTCTGCAAGATTAGCAAAAGGATGATGATCATCGTAGCCTTTTTAGTAATCATTTTTTTTTCTTTTTTTGAAAATATTCCAATCAGTTCTTTACTTCGTAACTAATCCAATTCGAGGCGGGTCCAGGATTAAAGCTTTAAACTCCTTCCCAAAATGATACTGAAAAAATTCGAACACATGCTCTCACCTCCACCTTCTTAGCTCTCATGCGTCAACTGAGCTACCACTATTTGGTTAAGTAATCACTTCAATGGCAGCACTACAATCAGACTCGAACCAGACACGTCTGAAGTCTTTACCCCACACTAACTCCAATCCCAACAAGATACCCCAGAGTTCGGCCATAAAAGAGTTGCTAAAATCGGTGTTTTTGTTAAAACCAACCAACCAGCCCCCAAGATTATACCTAATAATAAGGTTGGCAAAAAAGAGCCAACCCGTCGGGTTGGCTCGCAACCCGACCTAAATGAGTCGGGTTGGGCTGGCTTAAATGAGCTGCCAACTCGATTCAACCCGACCCGATCCAACCCTAACTCAAACGAGCCAACTCGCGGGTTAAACGGGTCAGCTCGCGGGTTGGCTTTTTTTTTATTAATTTAAATTTAATTAATAATATCGTTCGTGTCGTCACTTTCTCGTTCTTTTTTTTCCAACCCTAACGAGTTAAATTAGCTATCTCATAATCTGCCCCCTTTGCCCAACTGATTCACCGAACGGTCGAACCCTGCGAGCTGTTCGAAGAACCTGCGACCATCACCATCAGTCCATCACTGGCGGCGTGTGTTGCAAAGGAAGTGTTTCCGGCAAACAACCTGACAGAAAGTGTTTCCGGCAAGTGCTGCGAAGCGTTCACTGGCGGCGTGGATTCGCTTTGCTTTTGCTACCTTGTGAGAGAACCTAACATCCTTGGCTTCCCTCTCAACACCACAAGGCTCCTCTCACTCTCTTCCCTCTGCTCTCCCTTTCTGCAACATGAAACCTCCTCCTTCAATTTCTTTGTTCAGGTTCTTCCACCAATTCTTTATTATTATTATTATTATTATTATTATTATTATTATTATTATCAAGATCTTAGTTAGTTAGTTAGTTATGGCATTGACATATTCTTGAACATTGTTCTTGAAACTGACAGCATCTCCGGCTCTGCCCCTCTTAAAAAGACCGAGATTCTCTGTTTTGATAGAGGGGATGAAAATTTAAAGTATATTAAATTTTGATACTTGTTTGATTTGAACCATATTGTCAGCTGTCATTTTTATAAACGCTGAATATCTCCAAACAAATGGTTAAATCCTTTGTTAGCATAATATCAAAAT